AATAAGCCACACATGCAAATTGGGCCAGGTTAAAGGAAAGAGAGTAAGTCAATCCTACAAAATGGACCAGATAAAATATTGATATATAAACCAAGCACTCTACTAATTCTATATGCAGGAAATTTAAAGCCTCATCTGAAAAAGAGCCGACCAATCAACAAGTTTTACCAAGTAGGGAGATAGGCAAACAAGAGAATCCTAACCAGCTGGACACCGGTGGCTCACACGTGTAATCTTAGCTACTCAGGAGACTGAGAGATGAGGATAAGTTTGATGCTAACCCAAGCAGGAAAGTCCATGAAACTCTTAGTTTCAATTATCTAGCAAAAAGCCAGAAGTAGAGGTATGGCTTAAGTGGTAGAGCACCAGCTTTGAGTGGAAAAACTCAGTCCTAAGTTCCAGCCCTAGTAGCAACACACATATAAAAGGAAAAGAAATAAAAAACAAAACCAGAGCTGGTACCTTTAAGGAAATAAATTTTCAGTGTGGCTAGAATACCCAACGCAGGGTGGAAAGATAGTATTAAAACCAGAAATGTAGCCAGGCACCGTTGGCTCACACCTGTAATCCTAGCCAGTCAGGAGGATGAGATCTGAGGATTACAGTTCAAAGCCAGTCAGGGCAGGAAAGTCCTTGAGACTCTTATCTCCAATAAACCACTAGAAAACTGAACGTGGCACTGTGGCTCAAGGGGTAGAGCACTTGCCTTGAGCTGAAGAGCTGAGGGACAGCGCCCAAGCCCAAAGTTCAAGCCCCATGACGGACAAAACAAAACAAAAAAAACAAACAAATTTCTATTCTGTTCATGCTCCAGGGCCTTAGACCATCCTAGCTATTTAGGGAAGTCCTAGAAGTGATAGATTAAGGAGCAGCTTTTTGAAGACTTCCCCAGAAAGTCCTGGAGGCAGGGAGGCTTTGTAGAAGGCTGGTGGAGGTGCTTGTAAGTGCAAGAGAAGGTGGGCTTAGAGAGTGAGGGGTTGAGAGATGGTTAGTGATCTTCCTGAGATATGCTAGATTGACATAGGGATAAAAAGAAGAAGCAAACTGCACAGTAGCAGGAAGGCTGAGGTAAACACAGCTATACTGTATCACAGCAGGACACCTCCTGACTACTCAAATTGTAAAGAAGCAGGACCACCCACACCCCACTGGGATCAATAAGATGGCTACTAACTCTGTGTGTGTGTGTGTGTGTGTGTGTGTGTGTGTCTGTCTGTCTGTCTGTCTGTCTGTCCTGGGGCTTGAACTCAAGGCCTGTGCGGAGCCACAATGCCACATTTGCTTTTAGTAGTTAATTGAAGATGAGACTCATAGACTTTCTTGCCTAGGCTGGTTTTGAACCATGATCCTCAGATCCCAGCCTTCTGAGTAGCTAGAGTATAGGCATGAGCCACTGGTGCTAAGAAACTTTTTCTTTTTCCTTTTTTTTTTTTCCTTAGTCATGGGACTTGAACTCTGGGCTTGGGCACTGTCCCTGCGAGCTTCAGCCCAAGCCAAGTGCTCTACCACTTGAGCCATGGCGCCACTTCCAGTTTTCTAGTGGTTTATTGGAGATAAGAGTCTCACAGACTTTCCTGCCTGGGCTGGCTTTGAACCATGATCCTCAGATCTCCTGAGTAGATAGGATTACAGGTATGAGCCACCAGTGCCTGGCCTTGGTTTTTTTGTATTTATTTACTAATTTTTGTCAGTCCAGGGGCTTGAACTCTAGGCCTGGGTGCTGTCACTTCTTCAGCTCAAGGCTATGCTCTATCACTTGAACCTCAGTACTACTTCCTGTTTCTGGTGGTTTAGTGGAGATAAGAGTTTCATGGATGCCGGGCACTGGTGGCTCACGCCTGTAATCCTAGCTACTCAGGAGGCTGAGATCTGAGGATCTTGGTTCAAAGCCAGCCCGGGCAGGAGAGACCGTGAGACTCCTATCTGCAATAAACCACCAGAAAACCGGAAGTGGCGCTGTAGCTCAAGTGGTAGAGCGCTTGCCTTGAGCTGAAGAGCTGAGGGACAGCGCCCAGGCCCAGAGTTCAAGCCCCACGAAAGACAAAAAAAAAAAAGAGTTTCATGGACATTCCTGCCTGGCCTGGCTTTGAATTGAAATCCTCAGATCTCAGCCTCCTGAATAGCTAGGATAACTGGCATGAGCCACAGGCGCCCAGCTTGTCTTTTTCTTTTGTATCACTAAATAGTATCTCCATAGACAGACCTGATGGTTCATTTTTTTTTTCCCCAGGTTGTGGGGCTTGAACTCTGGGCCTCGGTGCTGTCCCTGAGCTCCAGCTCAAGGCTAGCGCTTTACCACTTGAGCCACTGTGCCACTTCCAGTTTTCTGGTGGTTTATTGGGGATAAGAGTCTTACAGACTTTCCTGCCTGGGCTGGCTTTGAACCAATATCCCCAGATCTGAGCCTCCTGAGTAGCTAGGATTACAGGTGTGAGCCACCAGCACCCAGCTCTGGCTTTTTTTAAAAAATGTATTTATTATGTGTAATATAGGGGTGTGTGTGTGTGTGTGTGAGTGTGTGTATGCTGGTATTGGGACTTGAACTCAAGGCCTTCCTTGAACTCTCCTTAGTTTTTTTTTTTTTGGGGGGGGGTTTGGTCATGGGGCCTGAACTCTGGGCCTGGGTGCTGTCCCTCAGCTCTTCAGCTCAGGGCTAGCACTCTACCACTTGAGCCACAGCACCACTTCCGGCTTTTTTCTTTTTGCTTATGTGGTGCTGAGGAATCGAACCCAGGGCCTCAGGCATGCAAGGCAAGTGCTCTACCACTGAGCCACCTTCCCAGCCCCTCTCCTTAGTTTTTTGCTCAAGGCTGGTGTGCTACCAATTGAGCTACAGCTCTACTTCACTTCTGATTCCTTTTTTTTTTTTTTTTCCTGGCTGGTCCTGGGGCATGAATTCAGGGTCTGGGAGCTTCTCTGAGCCTTTTTGTGCTCAAGGATAGTACTTGAGCCACAGTGCCACTTTTGGCTTTTTCTGAGTAATTTATTGGAGATTAAGAGTCTTACTGACTTTCCCAGCTGGCTTAGAATTACAATCCTCAGATCTCAGTCTTCTGAGTAACTAGGATTACAGGTGTGGGGCCACATAGGTGCCCACCAGACTACTTCTGACTTTGTGTTATTATTTTTGGTGGTGGTGGTTAATTGGAAATAAGAGTCTCTGGGATTTTCTGCCCAGACTGGTTTCAAACTTGAATCCTCAAATCTCAGCCTACTTAGTAGCTAGGATTATAGGCATGTGCCACTGGCACCTGGCCATTCCAGCTTTGTGCTAGTTAACTGGAAATAAAAGAATTGAGAACAGTATCAGGACTTACTTCCTGAGGCTGTTGTAGAAGTCATATTGCTTTTAAGGGTTGCACAAAGTAGAAGTCCAACAACTTCCAATTTTTACTATTAGTGAATAGCAGCAAGAATACCAGCTTTGCCCAGGAAGGCTGAATTCTTTTCAGAATCAAAGAATATCTTATTTAAATGAGTATTTCTGCTGGGCAGTAATTCTTACCTGTTCAGCAGAAACTCCTGAAAGCCAGCCCAGTCTGGAGCAGGATCTGGATGCAGTGGAGTTTAAATCTTCCAGCTATGGAGCCAAAGCTTCGAGCCATCAGGAAATCTCAAAATCCCTCTGAGTGATTCTGCTAGTCTGAGCTCTCCCTGCAGGAGTCTAATCTAGGTTTTGGGTAAGACCTGGGGTTAGTAATTCTCCCCAAGCCTGAAAATGCTTTTCTAACCCAGGAATACATAGACTTTTAAAAATAAAGGGCCAGGGCTGGGAATGTGGTTTAGTGGTAGGGTGCTTGCCTAGCATGCATGAAGCCCTGGGTTTGATTCCTCAGTATACATAAACAGAAAAAAGCCCAAAGTGGTCGTGTGGCTCAAGTGGTAGAGTGCTAGAATTGAGCACAGAGAGACTCAGGGACAGTGCCCAGGCCCTGAGTTCAAGCTCCAGGACTGGCAATGAATAAGTGTGTGTGTGTGTGTGTGTGTGTGTGTGTGTGTGTGTATGCCTGTCCTGGAGCTTGAACTCAGAGCCTGGATGCTGTCTCTGAGCTTTTATGCTCAAGGTTGTATTCTACCACTTGAGTCATATTTCCACTCTCAGGATTTTTTGGTTAACTGGAGATAAGGGTATCCGTCTTTCCTGCCTGGCTGGCTTTGAACTGCAATCCTCAAATCTTAGCCTCCTGTGTAGCAATTACTGGTGTGAATGCTCATTGAGAATAAATACTTTTGACTTTGTTGGCCAGATGTCCTTCACAGTAATCTAGTTCTACTTTTTTTTTTTTTTTGGGGGGGGGAGGCCTTCTGGGGCTTGAAGTCAGGGCCTACGCGCTATCCCTGAGCTTCTTTTGCTCAAGACTAGCACCCTACATCTCATTGACTTTCCTTCCTGGGCTGGCTTCAAACTGTGATCCCCAGTTCTCAGCTGCCTGAGTAGCTAGGATTACAGGAATGAGCCACCATCTCATAGCTCCAGTTCTACTCTTTTTTTTTTTTCTTTTGCCAGTCCTGGGGCTTGAACTCCAGGCCCAGGCACTGTCCCTAAGTTTCTTTTGCTCAAGTCTAGCATTCTGCCACTTGAGCCAGAGCACCACTTCTGGCTTATTCTGTGTATGAGGTACTGAGGAATTGAACCCAGGGTGTCATGCATGCTAGGCAAGAATTCTACCACTATTCCCTGCCCTCCAGTTCTACTCTTTTTTTTTTGTCGGTTGTGGGACTTGAACTCTGGGCCTGGGCACTGTCCCTCAGCTCTTCAGCTCAAGGCGAGCGCTCTACCACTTGAGCTACAGTGCCACTTCCGGTTTTCTGGTGGTTTATTGGAAATAGGAGTCTCAAGGTCTCTCCTGCCCGGGCTGGCTTTGAACCGCGATCCTCAGATCTCAGCCTCCTGAGCTAGGATTACAGGCGTGAGCCACCAGCGCCCGGCTCCAGTTCTACTCTTATAGCACAAAAACAATCATAAATTCATAAATGAATGGGTATGTTTGTGTTCCACTAAAACTTTATTTACAAAAACAAATGATGGGCCAGATTTGGCCTGTAGTCACTCCTCTCTTCTTAATATAACCAATTAAAGACACAGCGACGTGTATATGAAAAGAAAAAAAATGGCATTTCTTTCATTTAAAATTATGACCTGGAAAGAATAAGTCAGTTTAAGGAATCCAGGGTTCCCTTCTCTACCCAAATGGAACATAATATTGGTTCAGATTTCCAACCCCAGAAAAAAAAAACACAAACTGAGTCGAAAATCCTCCGGAAGTCCCTGCAGCTGCCCTGCTGGAGCCATCAGGCTGCCCGTGCCGTTGCCAACTGACCATGCTGGCAAGAGCTCGATCTCCCCTTCTGCCACTCAACTCCTCTCCAGTCCTGCCTCTCTAGAATTGGCATTTTGGGCAGGCGCAGTGTGGACAGTGTGGCGTCCATCTCCCACCTGTCCTCAGGGGCACCTTCCCAGTGAACACACCCGTGGCACCAAATAATTCTACGTCCTGCGCATGCCCAGGAAGGCAGCATCAGCTCTTGTTTGGCTGAGAGCCTAAAGTTGTACCCATCATTGTCCCATGGCCAGCAAACCTGCAAACTTGGAACATAATCTGGGGAGAGGGCCCCAGAAACCAATGGTGAGTCTGAAAATAAAACAGGCATTTCTGGGTGAAATCCTTACAAGCATCTGGGGAAGAAAGCTGGCAGACAGAACAGCGCCTCCTTCAGTATCTCCAAGGCTCTGCTCCCCAGAGCACAGCATTCAGAGTCCCAGTTCTTGGGTGGGCTTCACTTCTCCTACCTCTTACATGCAAGGTTAACTGTGGCTTTAGATTCACTCAGACAACCAGAGGATCCCTGGAGAACAGGAAGCACTGAATGACCTGGAAAGCAAGAGGAGTTGAGGTGGGATGCCGACCAGGACTGGTTTTTGTACTGAATTTTGGAATTGGGGTCTGTGGGCAGAGGAAGGGAATAGCCCTAAGTTACATTCCTAGATGCCCTCTTAGGAGAGGTGTGAATACAGAATAAATACAACTGGCTTGAAGCAAGCCTTCTGAGAAAACACCACCTGCAGTGTGTGTGTGTGGAGGGGGCGGGGTTTGGACAGGACAAGATTCCCCATTAGTTTGCTTTCTCTAAGATTAACAGTACTTGAAGCCTAACCTGAGTCAAAGCTCTGGGAGAGAGGATGAAACCACCTAAGAGCTCCCCAGAAACACCATGGAAGAACAGAGAGGGAACTCATCCCCACCACACACAGCATTGCTGTACCAGGCTGGCTGAATGCTGGGTGTATTACAGAGGCATCCTGGGCAATGTACCCATCCCAGGCTGTGCTGTGCCTGGGCTGGGGCTGGAGATGGTGCGGAGCAGCAAGGAGAGTCCCTTGAGGACTGAGGCACAGTGAGGAGAAAGGGACAGGGTTTCCTTCTCAGGTTCAGTGGTGCTGCCTCCCCAGGGAGGATGTTATTGCCCTCTTGGCAGCTCTGCTGCCAGGTGGTATTGAAAAGGATGGCATCTGGGCTGGGACAGCTCAGCTCAGACCCCAGGCTATGACATGGCTCCCAAGGAGAGAAATGTCCTAGACCAAGTCAGGGTCACAGCCCAAGTCCTGGCTCATGACAGCACATGTCCTAGCTCCAGCACGCATGACCCTCCAGCTATCCAGTCTTCAGACCTAGCAAGGTCACTCCATGGTGGAATAAGAGACTAGGAGCCCAGCAAGTTCCTCTTCCCAGTCTCTTTCATTTCTTAGAACAGTGGACCCTCCTCCCCCACCAAATGTCTACCAAGGAGGGAACTGTCCACGTGGCCCTTCCAAATCCAGTCCCAGAGGCCACTTACAAGACCATGGAGGTTTCACCCAATTGTGGCAGAAGGCTGGCTTGACCCCTGTCCTCACTGGATGATGCTGTCCGACTGCCCATTCTGAGGCACCTGTCCAGGATCAGAGGCAGGGGTCGGGTTGGGTGTGTTGCTCTGCAAGTAGCGACGAAAATCTTTGATCATGGGCCGGAGAACCTGGATGAGGACACTCAGGGCCGCCTGGGTGCCCTCCATGGCCTGGGCCTGGCGCTCCTGGGCACAGGCCTGTACCTCCTGGGAGCGCCGGATCATCTGCAGCAGGTCGTTCTGCTGCTCTAGATGCTGGGCAATCTCCTTGACATGTAGATTGGTGACCCGCTGTTCCTGGATCAGCTTGGCAGAGTTGAGGGCTATGCGACTCTTGAGTGCCTGAGGCTTCACGGAGGTATCTGCATGCTGGGTTATCATCTCTATGGGGGCCTCAGCTGGCAGGGGTGCTGGAGCCTCAGTGGTACAGTACTCTACCACTCCCTCCTCCAGTGTGTGATAGGTTGTCTCAGTAGGGACTGCAGAGAAGAAAAAGGCAAAGTACAGGCAGGTCACCTTCTGGAAGGCTGTACAATGTGGAGAGGAAGACATTAAGTTCTGTCCTAGGGGGAGGAAAGCTCAGGCCTCCCTTTGTTTTATAATTCTTTATGTATAAATATAGATTCTAAGGGGAGGCTAGATCTTTTTCTCCCAGTCCCAGGGACAAAAAGGGCTTCCTACATACAGAGCAAGCACTCTATCACCAAAACACTTCTTTTTTTTTTGGTCAGTCCTGGTTCTTAAACCTCTGGGCCTGGGCGCTGTCCCTCAGCTCTTCAGCTCAAGGCTAGCGCTCTACCACTTGAGCCACAGCACCACTTCCAGTTTTCTGGTGGTTTATTGGAGATAAGAGTCTCACAGACCTTTCCTGCCCGGGCTGGCTTTGAACCGATATCCCCAGATCTCAGCCTCCTGAGTAGCTAGGATTACAGGTGTGAGCCACCGGTGCCCAGTTTATCACCAAAACACTTCTATAGTAAGGCTTTAGGTTCTTAATCTACTGGTAGCCAAAGGGCAGTCCTAGATCAAGCAGAAGAGATGCCAATAAAAATGCCAGCAAAAAGTCCAGAGTGCTTCCGTGCCCAACAATTTGTAATTACTAGCTCATGAATCTTCCTAATGACAAAAGGGAGATAGCAGCCATCTCATTTTTCAAAGTTGAAAAAATAGAAACACGGAGTGACTTGCCTAAGATCACATAGTTCATGCTGCAGAGCCAAGAAGAAAACTCAGATTCTCCCAACACCAGAGCCTAGCATACCCACAGCCATCTCAATGGGCTGCTTTTAACTGATTAAGTACCTCAGAGATGGAGTCATATGCCAGCTCAAAGTAGGCATCTTGGAGCTCTCCACACAGCTCTTGGCAACCTCACCATTCCTACCTCCTTTGATGTTCTCTTGACTTGTGTCTCTTGTGGCCAAGCAGAAAAGGAGTAGGAAAGAGACAAGGGAAGTAGTTGCTAATGTGCCCAATAAATGCCTCCTTATCTCATTAGTGACTGGCTCATCCTTCCTGTTCCAGAGTAGCATCCAGTCGAAACCAATATTTGTCCCCCTTTTCCATTTCCATACATCCTTGAGAAATACAACATCGCACATATATATGCATATATATATACACATGTATACTGCTTTACACATACATATATATGTATATATATAATATATATATTTTTTGTCAGTCGTGGGGCTTGAACTCTTGAGTTCTTCAGCTCAAGGCTAGGGCTCTACCACTTGAGCCACAGCACCACTTCCCATTTTCTGGTGGCTAATTGGAGATAAGAGTCTTTCGGACTTTCCTGCCTGGGCTGGGTTTGAACCACGATCCTCAGATCTCAGCCTCCTTGAGTAGCTAGGATTCCAGGCATGAGCCACCTGTACCTGGCAACCTCCCCTTTTTAATGTCAGTACTGGGGCTTGAACTCAGAGACTGGCATTCCCACTTGGCTTTTCCTCTCAAGGACTGCTGTTCTACTATGTGAGCCACACTTCTACTTCTGATTTTTGCTGATTAAATTGGAAGTAAAAGTTTCATGGACTTTTCTGCCCAAGTTTGTCTTAGATAATGCTCCTCAGCCAGATGCTGGTGGCTTATGTCTGTAATACTAGCTACTCAGGAGGCTGAGATCTGAGGCTAGCAGTTTGAAACCAGGTCAAAGAGGAAAGTCCATGAGATTATTATTTTTTTTTTTTGCCAGCCTGGGCATTGTTCCTGAGCTTCTTTTGCTCAAGGCTAGCACTCTACCATTTGAGCCACAGCACCGCTTCTGGCCTTTTCTGTGCATATGATACTGAGGACTCAAACTCAAGGCTTCATGTTTACTAGGCAAGAACTCTACCACTAAGCCACATTCTCAGCCAGTCTGTGAGATTTATTTATTTATTTTTGGTCAGTGGAGGGGCCTGAACTCTGGGTCTGGGCACTGTCCCTCAGCTCTTTAGCTCACGGCGAGCACTCTACCACACTTGAGCCGCAACACCACTTGCAGCTTTTTCCACTTATGTGGTGCTGAGGAATGGAACCCAGGGTCTCATGGATGCAAGGCAAGCGCTCTACCACTGAGCCACCTTCCCAGCCCCTTGAGATTCTTATCTCTAGTTAACCACCAGAAGACTAGAAGCGGCACTGTGGCTCAAAGTGCAGAGTGCTAACAAAAGCTCAGGGACAGCGCCCACACCCTGAGTTCAAGCCCCATGATCAACAAGGACAACAACAAAAAGAGCCTCAGATCTCAGCTATTATTATTTCCTGAGCCACCCCCATCTGGCTCAATCCCCCTTCTCTTTTGAGTCTTTGGGCTTTCCCAACTGATAGCAGACCTCTTCACATAGATGTCTTATCTGTTTTACTAAGACACAATTGGCCTATAGTCTTCCCCCTCTTTTTTTTTTTTTTAAGTGTTGGAAATTTAACCTAGGGCCTCTCACACTAAACAAAGTGTGTTTTTTTTTTTGTTTTTTTTGTTTTTTTTTTTTTACCACTGACCAACATCCTCTGCCCCCAGATCTACATAGATCTATATTCTAAACACTTTGGTAATCCCTGTGCTGGGCACAGGGTTTTTAGAGTGTCAATGTCGGATGACTGACTCAGGGACCATGAAGTTCCTGAACAGAACCTGATGTATATTTGCCATCCTGAGAACACAGAATGTCTTTGTCCAGAATGGATGTCTCATTTGGGCAGTATTAGTCCCATCTATTCATCCAACAAGTATATATCCTGATTACCTTCTGTATGTCAGGCCCTATGATAAGTTCTGAGCAGATAACAATCTCTGTCTTCAAGGACCACATAGTGCAGCCAGTGGAGGTTAAGTCATGGTCATAAATGATATGAGAGCTATAGGCTGGCTAGACGGCAGATCAATTTGATCTGGCCTTTGACCCTTGGCAGTCATCCTTTCCCCAGGCCGCCCCAGCGTTTGCTGGCCCTTCCCATTTATCACAGGGAACTGGGCAGGAGAGGTCACTCACTCTGTGTCAGGGTGACCGTGGCTGCTGTTGCAGTGGCTGTGGGTCCAAGGGCCACCGGATGGATCTCTGTGGTACTGGGAAGGCTGATGATGGTGGCCTCACCCAGCAGGTTACAGATGCGTTGTTGCATGGGGGTCAGCAATACCGGGGCTACAGCTGGGCCATTGCCGCCATTGCCACCGCCTGTCCCAGGCCCACCAGCTCCATCCTCCTCAGTGGGTCCTGGGGCCTCGCCACCCTCTACGGCAGCCCGGACTTGGGCAACCTTACGACGGACTTCGGTCTTGAGATCAGACCACTTCTTCTTGACTTCGGGCAGCTCCCTGCGGCAGGTGGCTACAGCATTGACCCTTCTCAGGATGCTATGCCAGGCCGCGCTCTTGGCGGCCAGAGGGACCCCAGCGTTGAAGTGGTTCACCAGCAGGTGCTTCTTCAGCTCCAGCTCCTCGACGATGATTTCCACCTCTCGCTCTGAGAAGTTCATCTTTCTTTTCTTGGCTGGGACTGCCATGGCCTTTCCTCTCCCCTCCCCTCTTTATATATAAAGAAAATTATAGTGTCCCCAACAGCCCCAATTTCCCTCTCCTGCTTCCTCGGCCTCGCCCCTTACTAGCCCACCCCCTTCCAGGGGACAGGCCAGGCTTGCTCAAGGCCAAGCTCCAGGCCTTAGGTAACCCCTCTCGCTACGCAAAGTGCGTAGGGCCCAGACCGGACCCGCCCGGCCGCTACCAGCCAGCTGCGTAATGGCTTCCTGAATCTGCCTCTTCCGCCGGGGTGTGCGAAGATCCGCCCACTTCCCTTCTTCCCGCCCCTCCACGCTTCTCCAAGGAAGCCCGCCTTCCTGGTTGATCGCGGCTCAAACATCAAGTTGATCACTGGCTCTTCCAGTTTGTCATTCAGCCAAAGGGCACGCCTACCTGCTCGAAATAATCTGATCATTGGTCTAAAGCTGTGTCTGTCACTCCAGGGAGCCCGCCCACTTGGCCTTTATTCACTTCCATTGGAAAGTTATTCTGTCGTTCTATTGTTGGTGTTAAGACTATCACGGTGTTAAATTCAGCTATTTTATTGGTAGTTTAGGGAGGTAAGACTATTATAACCAGGCCTTTGAAGATATTTAGTGCTTTCAGCCTTGAGATGTTGTCCAATTAATTTTTAATTTCACAAGGACGCAAACTCTGTCTGGTAAGTCCAGTTCACAATTGCTCTATGCCAACTCTGTTTCCTACAGGAGGCTACTACCTCTTCGTACACGTCCTTATAAGTTCGCGGTCTAAACAGCACTTTTTAGTGGCAATTGGATACAGAGCCTCCAGCCTGCCAATTACACAGGATTTCAGCCCGTAGCTGTGTGAATCCCCGCCTCCCGCCTGGTTCAGCCAATCGCCGCCTTCCTTGGTTTGAATCGGCCCCTGCTTGAGTGGAGATGGCCCCGCCCTCCCCATTGAACAGGGTAGGCCTTGGACAGGCCCCGCCCCTCAGAGAGGGCTTCGTTCTGACTCGTGACTGGTCGGCTGCCGGCCTGGAGGCGTGGCCAGTGAGGCGGCGCGCGGCGGGGCGGAGTTCCCGGAAGTGGCCCCTCCCGCCAGCTTGCCGGCTTCTCGGAGCCCGCGCTAGCAGTCGTAGAGAACCCGGCGTGTTTCCACGCAGTCCCCGCCGGCCCCCGCCCCCGTCCCGCGCCCGGCGCCCCTGTCTCGCGCCCGATGGTGAGCAGTGTGTTGTGCCGCTGCGTGGCCTCCCCGCCGCCGGACGCCACCGCCGCCGCCGCCTCGTCGCCCGCCTCGTCGCCGGCGTCCATAGGGGACCCGTGCGGCGGCGCCGTCTGCGGGGGCCCGGATCACCGGCTGCGCCTGTGGAGCCTCTTCCAGACGCTCGACGTCAACCGCGACGGCGGCTTGTGTGTCAACGACCTGGCCGTGGGGTTGCGGCGCCTGGGACTGCACCGCACCGAGGTCGAGCTCCGGGTAAGCAGCGCGCGGCATCCGCGCGGGCGGGGAGAGAGACGGGGGTCGGGGCCCCGGCTGCCGGGGAACAGGTCCCGATGGCCTGGCCGATTGATCGATCGAGCTGGCAGGCACTCAGAGCTCGGCAGGTCTGAGTGGACGGCCCCTGAGGCTGGGCTGGACCCCTGGTGTTCACGGAGAGTGACCTCAGATGATAGATGGCCACCCGGTATATACCTCGTTGAAAGTGGGGCTTCTTAGTGGATGCTTTGGCCGGGGAGAGAATGGTCGTGGGTACAGATGGACACCCCCTCGGGCCTGTCCATGGGCGAAAAGCCTCTTCCTGCTTGAGCTTTCTCCCAGGAAGGCCAAGTCTCAGGAGGGTAACCTCAAGGCCAAGCTTGATATCCCAATCCCCTAGTCAGGTTCATCTGTCCATCTTCAGCAGCACCCCTCCCCCCCTTTTTCTTTCCTCTCGTTTCCATGCCACCCTGGGTCCTGATCTGGTTCCTCTCAGAAGCATGTGGGTGTTGGGGGAAAAAAAAAAAGGAACTGGTGTTTCAGGCAGATTTGTGTGGATGTGGGTGGTGAGGACTGACAGGTCTCATGGCTTAGGCCCAGCCCTGAGGCTTATCCAAAACTTGGAGTCGTGATCTCTTGCAAGGTTAGAGTGTAGATGGAGTGGAAGAATCTGGGGTAAGGGAGATAGTTGTTCTCTTGTGCGTGTGGGTCTGGGTCTGGGCACAGGTACTGGGGCTTGAACTAGGCCTGGACACTGTTCTTAGTTTTGTTTATTTTTTTTTTTTTGCTCAAGGCTAGCTTTCTATCACTGAGTCATAGCTCCTCATAGCTCCACTTCAGGTTTATTGTTGTTTAATTGGAGATAAGTCTAAAGGGCTTTCCTGCCTTGATTGGCTTTGAATTGTGATCCTCAGATCTCAGCCAACTGAGTAGTTAGAATTACTGGATGGAGCTAGGCTCCTTTGGTTTGTTGTTCTTGCCCTGGAATGGTCATTTGATCAACTTGGGAGGGAATGAAGTCAGACAAATTACCACCTTTGGGCCTGCCAGAAAGAGAAGTGCTGTCCTTTTATAAGAGGCTAGGAACAATGTCTTTTCCCCCCTTTCTTCTGTCTTTCATGGTGTTTTGTTTTTTACTTCATGCTTGTAGCTGCCCTTTCTCAAGTATTTTGTTTTATCCTGATTTACAAACTGGAGTTAGACTACTTTTACCTAGCAACCTGTTTCTTTGCAAAGTTAGTTTGGCCATTTGTGCATGCAACAGTGAATCTCAAAGCCAAGTATGAAGAAAATCTGATAAGGTGCCAGTGAATTTGACTAACATTTTACAAATTCATTGGTCAGGTCAGCATACATACTGTTATATCCAAGATAATCTTGGATCTGCATCTAAGGTATTTAACCTACTTAGGATCAGTCTTGAAAGACCAAGGTTGACACTGTGCAACACACAATCACTGTGTTAAGTTCAAGAGGTTTTTTGCTTTTTTTTTTTTTTGGTTATGGGGCTTGAACTTTGGGCCTGGGCACTGTCCCTCAGCTCTTCAGTTCAAGGCGAGCGCTCTACCACTGGAGCCATAGCGCCAATTACTATTTTCTGGTGGTGGTTTATTCGAGATGGCCGTCTCATGGACTTTCCTGCCCAGTCTGGCTTTGAACTGGGATCCTCAGATCTCAGCCCTCTAACTAGCTAGGATTACAGGCGTGAGCCACTGACACTCAGCTCAGTCCAAGAGGCTTAAGCCAAGATCCCCACTCCCTTATTCCTAGAGACAAGTAAAAGGACAATTCTAGCCTACACCTGTAATCCTAGCTACTCAGGAGGCTGACGTCTGAGGATTGCACTTCAAAGCCAATCTAGGCAGAAAAGTCTAGTGTATCTTTTATCTCCAATTAACTACCAAAAAAACAGAAGTGGATGTGTGCCTCAGAGGTAGAGCTTCAGTGGAAAGAGCTAAGGGAGGATCCTGATCGCGAATTCAAACCTCAGTAATGGCATACACACCCAAAAACACTAAAAGTCCTACATGTATTATAATATGACTTTTAGGTAGCATCTTGCTGTGTAGCCCTGGCCATCCTTGAATTTAGAATACTGTAGTCTCAACCTTAGTCCTGATTCCTAGTTCTAGGATCACAGATGTGAGCTTAAAAAAATAAAATAACCCATTGCTGGGCGCTGGTGGCTCACGCCTGTAATCCTAGCTACTCAAGAGGCTGAGATCTGAGGATCTCAGTTCAAAGCCAGCCCGGGCAGGAGAGACCGTGAGACTCCTATCTCCAATAAACCACCAGAAAACCGGAAGTGGCGCTGTGGCTCAAGTGGTAGAGTGCTCGCCTTGAGCTGAAGAGCTGAGGGACAGCGCCCAGGCCCAGAGTTCAAGCCCCACGGCCAAAAACAACAACAAAAAATAACCCAATGAGTCATGGGCTGGAAGGTGGCTTAAAGGTAGAGTGCTTGCTTAGCATGTATGAAGCCCTGAGTTCAATTCCTCAGTACCACATAAACAGAAAAGACTGGAAGAGGCTCTGTGGCTCCAGTGGTAGAACGCTAGCCTTGAGCAAAAAGAAGCTCAGGGACAGTCCCAGGCTCTGAGTTCAAACCCCAGAACTGGCCAAAAAAAAAAAATCAGTTTTACCCAGAATAGTACTGTAAGTTGGAGATTTTCCCATAGATATCTAATGAATAAATCAATTGAAAATATAGGATAAATTCGAGGATCTGTGTTTTAGGGTTCAGGGAGGCCTGAGCCCAGCTGAATCTTTTTACTCCTCTAAGCAACCTGTTTACTTGGAATACTCCTCAGGCACATTGAAGACATCTGTCTCCATGAGTGAATTCAAGGTTTACACCAAGTTTGGGCCTCAACAAGAGTCAGGATGTTCTGGAAATTCATGGCACATCTGATATTGATTCTGATCTTTTGTTGTTGTTGTTGCAGTGAATTTGCCTAAGGGCAAACAAGGAGAAAGTAATCATTCTTCCTGACCTAAAAGAAAACCTTTTTGACTTACCAAAAGGAGCCTCATCCTTTGAAGCCACTTTGGCTTCAAAATCCATGGCTCTGTGACTGTCCTAAATTCTATGATATGAAACAATTGTGTGTGTGTGTGTGTGCACGCGCGCATGCGTGCGTATGCGTGCGTGCCTCTGTGTGCCTGTGTGTGTGTGTGCTGGTCCTGGGGCTTGAATTCAGGGCCTGAGCACTATCCCTTAGCTTTTTCCCTCAAGGCTGGCACTCTTACCACTTAGGCCCCAGCTCCACTTCCTGAAACAGTTCTTTCTTCCTTTGAGGGATGGGTCTAATATGAACTCTATTTCTACCTCTCTTTGAGCTTTTGAGCAAGTTAAATTGTTATACAGCTTTGAAAAGATTAGAAATGACTCATTAGTTTATTGCCTTCAAAGGAGCACAATTTACAACTGTAGAGAATGTTTTCAGAAAGAAAGATCTACCCTAGCATTGGGGGTTCCTTGTAATCCTCTCATGGGAGGCAGGCTTGGGAGCTTTGAAGAGTTTGAGTCCAGCCTCAGACATGTGTAGCAAGTTCAAGGCCAGCTTGTGCAGCTAGACCCCGCCCCCTTTGTGTTTTGCAAATATAAATACCTAGCCACCAGGAAGACAGCCCAATCTCATGCATGCACATACCACTTCCTGTTGAGCTATCATTAGTTTTAGTTTGCTATAGTTGTGCAGAACTGGCAGGAACTGAAAGAGAACTTAGGGGCCTATTGGTTAAAAATGGGTGTCTGCCCAAGAATAGACATTGCAAAAACATATAACATGTTGGAAGCTGCATCCTGTGACCTCTATGAAACCATCTGAGATGTAGGTTTGCACAGGAGTCAGCCACTGAGTGTTTGTTGGTGGGTGAGCCCAGACCGTGTGACTCCATAGTCTCTTGTTAGCTTAGAACAGTCTGGGGTCAAGTTTTCTTTTAAAAAAATAAACCAGCAGGTTTTGCCATCTGCTTTTGTTTTAGAACAGATCTGGGAAGAGGGGAAAAAAATACTTAAAATGGAAATGGGCAGAGAACCTGGGCAGCTAGCCAAGGAAGATTTTTTTTTTCTTTTTTTGCTCTTTCTTGCCTCCTTCTCTCCCCCCATCCTGTCCCCCCGCCCCACACACTGGGAACTGAACTCAAAGCCTCCTACAAGTGCTCTGACACTTGAGCTACACCCCAGTCCTTTTTGTTTTTAGTTTTTGTTTTTCTTTCAGACAAGAGTTATATGCTACATGGGATTATAGGCATAAGCCATCAGGAGCTGCTGGGAAATGTTCTTTGTAAAAGCCCATGAGAGCAAGAAGCCTGTCCTGGGACAAAAGATGGGAAAGGTTTCTTAAAGAAAAAAAAGATGATGACAACTGTAATGATTTTGGGAGATGAGACTCAGCCGGAGGTAATTATAGCATGGACTATTTCAGGTATTTTCATGTGACCAAACAAAATCTTTGTCTTAAAACAAATTTAAAACATAGGTTAGAACTCGAGTAGCCAATTAGAGGAAGAAAGCAAGCTGTGTTACCTGTAAACACTTTTCTGTCTAGCTGAGGCTTGTGGGCTCAGCTGGTGTCTAGTTGGAGCTCTACAATAAGATCGTAAGATGATTTTATACTGTTTTATTTATTTATTTTTATTGTGAAAATACTGTACAGAGGGGTTACAATTACATGGGCAAGGTAATGAGTACATTTCTTTCTTTTTTTTTTATGAGTACATTTCTTATCAAGCATTGTTGCCTCCTCCTTTGTTTCCCCTTCCCATCACTTCCCATCTCTTCCCATCTCCCCCCCCCCCACCTTTTATACTGTTTTATAAGGGACAAAACAGTCATTCAGAAGGATAGTGATACTGCAAATAGGGGTGCATGTTTATAGTCCCAGCTGTTTTAGGGGGTTTGAGGCAGGAGGATCACTTGAGTTCAATACCAGCTTGGGCTTTCTTAAAAGAAAAAAATGAAATAACCTCAAAATCACTTGAGAGCCAGACACTGGTGG